TTGAACAAGTGATGGAGGCCGACCAACTGATTATGAATTAGTTGTAAACGACAAAACTGATTATATTCAAATGAATGGTATAACTGAAAGTTGTCGCGACAATCACGGCTCCAATTTACAAAACGTATGATTAATCGTAGCTGGGGAGGAAGAAAACAGGTTTTATAGAGCTATTGTCAAGGAAAACTATACAATGGAATCAGATATAGATTTATTATGTGTCTTTGATTGGCATCGAGCACCATAACACATAAAGTTCTAAACCTGGCTAGATATTGACGGTCATCGGTCCAGGCTTAATTTGGGTTTGTAAGGTCTAGAATCCTGTGAACATTTAAGGTTACTGAAGGATGGTCTCTCTCTACCGATGCGGACGAGAGGAGTACATACATGGAGTGAGTGTCTTTGTAGGAGCCTGTGATGTTGTCATGCAACAAAACTAAAGTAAACTGACTAAAGCATCAAGCAGAATAAAAAGATTGTATTAAAACGTAGAGACTAGAGTAAGTCTCGACTGGTGGACCGAACTCAAAGTCTTCCCCACTTGGAATATACCAATGCAGCTATACCATCAATATTTCTACATTTGTGATCTGTCTATTGTCAGTTCTGTTGCTCTTTCTCTTCAAAATTCGTATTTTATATCTAATTATATTATATATATTTTATCTCTGCAAACGCTCTACATCTTATATTTTTGTGATCATAGACCGAATGTGAAAACCTACCTTAGTCTACGGTCCTGAAACCTGGACGTTGATGGGTGTTATACTCGAATTCTAGGAATTGATTTTGAATTTCAACCAGTATGCGACTTATCAATATATATGTATAACAGATGAGGAAATATATGGTCAACTACACAAAGTCAATTTGAAAATTACTCAAAAGACTCCTCAGATTGGCCTGTGTATGCTTGCAGACATTGAGAATCAATAACGAACAGCGTGTTATTTCTGGGAACCAAAGCATGGCTCGGCTTGACAAGGAAGGCCTACATGTGCTGAAAATGTATTGAGGTGTAATGATGGAGTGCAATGGTTAGCGAAGACTTGCCTAGAATGCTCAGGTATACCAACCGCCATAAATAAGTAACGAAGGTCAACGTTAAGGGTCACTTTTGTAACAACAATGTAATATATTATATCTGACGATCTACAACTGTAGTCCTAAGTAAAAAGAGCACGGCGTGGAGATATATCTACGCGCGCCCATCTCTTATCCAAACATCTAGTCGTGTAGGGATAAACAGCACTTGAGCAAGTATCCCGCACAAAAATATCACACTTAACACTGACAAGTTTGTTCTCATAACAGAAAGGAATTTATTGCCTAATACATTGATAAATATATCTCGTAGCCAATGTCAGGTGGCTCCTCAAGGTAGAGCGACCTAACTGTTTACATGTAAATCAAATTTTACTTTTTTCTGTTTATAGTTTGGTTTCTCTGATATCAAGTGACAATATTGAAAAAGTTATTTACAGTTTTTGTGACTTGTAAGTATATTCCTTTACCTTGTAAAGACTGCCGAGGAACATTGTTTTGATAAAGTCAGTAGAGTGCGCGATATGCGCATTGGTACAATTAACCAAGGAGGACTATACTGTCCTGTCAACATAACCTTAATTCCATATCAAAATCGATGGACAGACGTAAAATCTGAACAGAAGAAAGATTTACAAAAAAACAAAAAAAAACAAAAAAAAAAACAAAAAAAAAAAAAACAAAACGACAAGGAATACTAGATAAGTAAGTGTCAGTTGTGTCATTGAAGATACCCGTCATGTAAATCATTTCCAATTAAGTTAGTCTCGTCACGCCATCCAATGAGAAGAAGGTATACATCAACGGAACCAACAGGCAAGCAAATGAGCATCAGACACGTCTGATGATTTCCAATGATCTTGAACATGTGCCGCCCCTCCGTTTTCATCAATGCTTTTGATATTGATAATTTGTGGTGTGTTTGCAAGTTTCTGATTTCGTTTCCTTCATGTAAAAAAACAACGATAAAAATACGGAGATGTCAACAAGACACGAGGGCTAAATATACACAACAAAAAGGAACGCACAAAGTTCCCCCCTGAAGTACACCTTAGTTGTAAGGAAATATTGAATATTTGGTCAGGTGTAACATCAAGAAGTTCGATTTAAAAAAAATCAACGGATGCTCTAAGTTCAGCGATATTCATTTTTCAAGTTTGCATTTTAATTTCGCCGTTGACCGAGATGCCACACTTAACGTAAATCCAGAGGGGTAGAGAAATTGCGATGTTGATGGATGGTCAAGGCCAAACTGCTGTCGCACGGCAGATTGGTGTTGCCCCGTTTACAATTAATCGGCTTTATACGGGTTTTCTTGCGACTAGGATAGTTTCTGATTGTGCCATGAGCGGTCGTCCTCGTGTAACGACCGTATGACAAGACTGGGTGATCCGATTTTCGTATTTGCGCAACAGATTCAAGACTGCTGTCAGGAGTCCGTTGCATACCTACCTTACGTACTTATGGGAGACCCATTAGTGACCAAACTGCCAGGAACCGCTTGCGTGCTCAGAGAATAATTGCGCACCGACCTTGTGCCATGCCAACTTTAACATGACGGAGGCGGCAAGGGCGTCTTGACATGCGCAGAAATGGCCCGAATAGGTTTTTGATGCGTCGAAGGAAGCGTGTCATGGGTGGTGCTACGGTAGTGCAATGATACGATTATAATTTTGTTTTTCGCGGGTATTTCACTTTGAGTAACTACTGACGACAGGAGTGACGTCAAACAGACTTTTTATCTACCGTATTGTGTACAGAAGTGTCCATTTATATTGATATAAAGTTTTGTACAAATCCTTAAATATCATAGCTATTGTTCGCATAATTTAATTGTGCGTTTCTTTTTTGTTGAGTATATGATCAAATGAAAGATTAACACTGAGACTGAAAAAGTACAAAGAGAATATAACCAAGCGTTTCTGTCAACAATGAAAACAATAGGAATTTGATCACTAGCTGATGAATCACGGGAATCAATAACAGCATTTTGGCCGATTACTAGATGTCTGCCTGAACCCTGCGATAAAGATTCAGTCTGTACTCTATGTTCATCCTAACTTCTTCTTTAACATAGAATAAAAATTAACCCTGGAGTTTGCAGAGTAAACACAAGAATTTGTCTTCCGGGTAGTTTTATCAATCGATAGTATAACATCGATACATGTTTCATGGCCCACTCCAAATTATATTCCAAATATCGGTATCAAGATGAACTTAACTAAACAAACATACGTTGATCGATCAATGAATGAAATTAGATTTGAAACATCATTTTTAGTTCTTTAATGCTTTTACTACATGACAATTTTGACCAACTCAGTGGATGTTCATATATATATTACATACAGTGCTGTTGCATCGCCATGAACTCCGTCTATATAACAACGTTGCGAGGACAGAGAAATCTGAACACGTGAAATTGCGATTTTCTAAAATTTATTAACCGAAGATATGAAAGTAATAGGATATTTCGATGTGATTGCATAATCGTACATTTGCGCTCAGATCACTTGCGATGGACATAATGAGCGTTGTTGACCTTAACCAGTAACTAGCTTAATGTTAAATAAATTGAATTTCTGTTTGCGATCGACTTTGAACACCTGTTTGCTATAGCATTTTTGCTCTAGCTGTATTTCTGCATATCTTTGACTATTTATTGTTTTGACTCTGGGAGTGTTTCTCTTCTTAAAAGGGGCATTGCTTTCCATGTAATGAAAGTTCCCAATGAGAAACAATCGTTTTAACGAGAATCTTTCTTTCTATTCAGCACTTCCTGAAAGTATTGAAGCTTAGTCATGTGGTTAGAATTCGGTAGTTCCGTTATCACTACATGTAAATTACGTCCACTGTTTTTTTTTATATAAAAGGTAATAATTCAGTAGGAAGTATTTTCTTACCCTTTCCAAACATGATGCAGGAAGCACTCGGTGCTGAAGTGATTCCCATACACGTCTGCTTTTAATGTACAATTATTGGGAGTCAGCAGCTGCAGCTGTTCTCATCCTCCAACAAGTAGCTGTTTAACGTGGAAAAAACATCTGCTTGATAAAGGCTTATTTATCCATCTGTACTGTTTTGCATATCATATTGACCGATGGCACAGTCACACAAATTAAGTGAATACGCCATTGGAAACGCGTTCTATGACAAAGGTATCACTGATTAATGTAACCAGTGTGGCATTTATTCTAATAGATTATAGTTTCGTTCTGCCGATTTTAGTTTAGTTCTACCGGCCATATCGCTCCTAAGGATGCTGTCACATAACTTCCACACACGGTCGAGGCTTAATGGGAAGACATGAATAATGTACTACCCTAATTGGATATCAATTGGGTTTGACCCATATGAAGCTGTAACTTATCCCGATCAATAGAATGCGGACATCTTGTTGTCGAAGATAGATGACAAAAGATGAACTTTTTCGTTATCAAATAGCCCCTGGGAATTAGCATAACAACGGAAATATCGGAAATTGCCTTTGAATTGTTTATTTCTTGATTGCAATGTTTTATCCTTCGAAGGCATAGTTCACTTTTTAATAAACTGGAAACCTTATGTTTTGAAACCAACTCGGCTTGATGGAACGATAATGAACAAATGCTGGCTAATAAAAAAAAAAAAAAAAAAACCAGAAACCAATGTGAGCTACCGTTCCTACTTGGAGATGGTTATCTAGATCGGCACGATGTAAAAATGAGCACCTGCTTTCTGTTTAGTATTGCCAAATGATTTTATGTTTTTGTACAAACTATCTTAATGGTCAGATTTTGGCCTCCGTAACCATGGGTAAAGAGATGATTTTCGCGTATACAACAGCTATCACATTTGTCTTGTGAAAAAAGCCAGCTGAAAATCAAAACATCAAGACATACTAATTTGAATGTACTTTGTAGTAATCACCAATAATGTCACACGAGTGAAAACTGTATTTCTTTTTATTTCAGATTGACATTTGCGATAGGAACATTAGTCATGACATTCTCGAACGCATGTAAGTTAATAACATATTTCAGTTTGAACTGTAAATCGTAGATGTTGATATATGCCTTGGTAATGCTTTTTATTTCATACTGTATATGCTAATTGATAAAAGAGTAAACTGTTATATTTCCTCGTTCCCAACACGTTGTATCTTGAATCCCAATCTATAAGCAAGTTGTTGAGCAAAATGTTTACGTTTTTAATAATTGAAATCCTTGTTCATATCTGGAATGTTTGATTTCAGCCTTCCCATGGTTGGTGATTCCGGCTTTTAGCTTAATTTCCCTTGCTGGGTTGGTTATTCTTCTCACCAACATACAAGTGTCCAATCTTTTTGGATCCCGGCGGAATACTGTTATGGGCTCTCTCATCGGCGCCTACCACTCTAGCGCTATCATCCTGCTGGCTATGAAGGTAATTTGCTTTTCTCTTCATTGTATTAATAGGTATTATCAAAGTTTCTTCGTGAGATCAAACGATGGAACATTCTTTGAACACGATCTACGAACAAAATGGTATTAGTGTTTCTGCTACTACGCTACAACACAGAAACAATAGCTTGACAAGAAAGCGTGACTTACCTCTTTGGGTGTCATGAGAATGGACCGAGCCCACTTCAAGGAGATTTTTGTTCTCAAATGACCACGATGATTGAATATAGGAAGTTTTAACACTATCGAACTACTGGTAACTTAGTTTGCGTTGTAATAATTTATTGATACCTCTGTCCGTTTCAGATAATATAGTTGTTCTTTATCACTCTTTAGTGACTGTAATACTGGTGGATATCACCTTTAAATCCTTTGTTTGTTTTATATCAAACGAAAAGTTTACCCGCGATCGCCGACCAAAACAGGTAATTACCTAGGAACGACAATAGTATGAATGTCAACAAAGGTTAACAACTAAACTTAAGCCATGCTATTTTCTGATTCATTGACAAAAAAAAATACTTTAAATCTAAAAAAGATATATTATTGTAAATAGCTGACATGTTAGCATTGTTCGTAAATCAAGATCATAGGCCTATACCACGTCTTGATTGTTCATAGCTTGCATATACTTGTATGTTGGAGGCATTCAAAATTTATCAAGATTGTTGTTAAACACAATATTACCAATTAAGCGTGAGCATTTTCTTACAACTCATGGATTTATTGACGGAAAAGTAATGTTCAGATTTGAAACTCCTAATAAAACGTATACATTCTATAGGATAGCGAAGCAATGCCATATATATCTGGAGTAGGATTGGCCAAGCGGTATTACACCTCGTAAACCAATATGGATCTATGTATCCTTATGTATTTGTCTCTAGAGTGGTCTTAACGACACTGATATTGTCATACATCGAAAAAAAACCCACAAACGATCGTTGTTTTATAGCGTCTTATCACGCTGAAAGATCATAGCCTGGACACAGTCGTACAAAAATCTACTCGACAAAAGCCAGGTCTTGTTAGTGACCGCTGCGGCTTCATATGCTCTGTATGTAGAAACACGGAACCTGAAAAAATCGCTAATTATGATGCTGGTAAAAGTCTTCAGTGATTCAAATAACTCGAAGCAAAGAAAAAAATCATGACTAGGGATTATGTGATCATATGTTGGAGTTCCGGTTCTGGTTTCTTATTTTATAAATTTGTCAATAAACATGATGTTCGTTTTGGAGAATCTAATCTAACACTATTAATTTTCAAAAAATAAATATAGATATTCCCTAAACGATGCACAAGTCACTATAGGTTTCCAGTCTAATGAAAAAGAGATGGATCAATATAATGTATGGTGTTAATTCTCTCATTTCTATGGCATATGTATCCATGATACGACGTTAACAACTTATATCAAGCATTTAGAATTCTTGTATCATGCTTTGAAATATTATAACAGAATAACTCTCTATGTGGGTACCCAGGGCTGTATTTTTAATGCTGCGTATATCCTATTTTCGAAAAGTACTAACTTTCATTATGATTGTATTTTCAGGAGGATGTAAATAAAAGTTCAAAAAAGAAAAAAGAAAGAAAAGTAAAGACACTTAGAAATACTGTTTATTAAGGAACCTATTGTCTGTTTCGTAGCATTCCTTTTACATTCATATTTTAGTGAAACCGCAAACACGGGAACCATATGGGAGAAAAATTTACAGCATTTTCAAAATATGTTAGTTATACACAGAATTCTTCCAGCAACTAAAAGGAGGTCGTAAACATGAGGTCTGAAGTCACGTTGGCGTAATGAGAAGTGTTCATACCTAAGTTATTGGCTATTTGTACTATGGATGACCTGTATATCAAATTATCTTCTCTGTTTGGTGAGTCATAAAAGGAAAAATATTGTCAGAATTGATGGAATATTTGAATCTCTAACCTTCCACTGATGAAAATATTGGATGTAGATAAAACTTCGAGCGATGGTTGTTATGGGTTAGAGACAAACGTTTCTAATATAAGGCATACTGTATCATTATTAGCACTTCACTGTATCAAGTAACCTTTGCGTTGAAGGATTTTACGTATGCCTTTATATCATAGGATTTCACTGACACGTTTGTAGTATAATTGTCCCCGTTTCAACACTTTTTAAAGGTTGAACGACCAAAATGACTTGTAACAATCGTATTTCGTCCGCAGGCTTTACACTTTTTATTTTTCCATATGTCGTCTTTAGTACCAGCTTGCCTAGAATGATGATTCTAAAAGCATACTAACCTAGTCAAATGTTTTGGGTCGGTCTGGAATTCAAGATGACCGCTGTTTAAAAGACAAAAACCATTTCACACTCTTTGTCAAGCTTGATTGGGACTTTGTACAAGGTATGTTGTCATCAACTTGTTTTATTTTCAAGAGTAAGACATAGCAACTTCGGCTTCCGTTTTGCCATGTGATTGCGAAATTTTAAGTTTCTGCAACAACAAACATTTAAAATTCTTTCTCCTATTTAACCGGAGATGTAGCTGTTATCCGAGATAGTATCGACAAGGTGTTCTGGTCAGTTAGAAATACAACTTGGTCGCTAACCTAAAATGTACATTTCTGATGGCATTGCCGCCACTGATGTGAAAACTGATGCTTCTATTATGTATATATACAAAAGGTTATATTTGGTCTCCTTAAGTCTCCGACCACTGCAACCATTTTGTAAAACAACACACATTCTCATATCACTCCAATTTAGCTCAAATTCTATCAACAAGTCTTGCTATTTTTTTTACGTCGGTCTGAAATCGACGATTGCGACCGGTTTGTAAAACACATTTGAAAGAACGTGCAAAAGAAACACATATGAAAAAACATCTTTTATATAAATTAATAGTAAGACACAGAATGACCAAACATTGATCAAAACTGCATCATGAAGCTGGTTAGTCTCCTTCTAAGACTCCTCAGTGACACTAAGGGCCTATTTTAGTTGAAAAGTTTTGAAGAACGTCAAGTGCTTGTGTATATTCCGAGCTGTGCTACTAGTCAAATTATCAAAATAGCGGCAGGCAAAGGCTACGGAAAACCTCGGTGACTGAAAGTTAGGGAGATAACTTTGCGGGGCTCTTTGTAAGCTAGTTAGACTTATTCTGTATTGATACCCGGGTATGTCAAATTAACCTTGGATCAGATAATGGTATATAAGCATTTAACACTTGATTTATTCCCTAATTAAAGCCTCTAAATGGTTAGATATTCATCTCTAAAGTGAAAAAAACATATGTTATAGTTTGCAGAACCATTTTATTAACAACGTCAAAAAAGTAAAATAAAAAAGGAGCGACGCCACACTAATTCATATCATAATCGTTCGGAGACTGTGAACAATGCCTTTGCGCATGCAATATTATATTCAGGGTAATTCAAATTTATTTTACAAAGAAAGAATTGAAACATGGGTGGCAAATACAATTTTGGCTAATTACATAACCAGACATAGTAAGAAATAACATCAAAACGGCAGGTTAACACGAGTGTCGACTAGCGTTAGTTTGAAACTGATACTCTTTCTTAATTTCTGTCAGAGGGTGTTATAATTTTGTAGAGTCTAACTTGAAACATTACAATGCGTACCCGAAACCAAGCGCATGGGAAACAATAACGAAATCTAACCATTAAGTCCTTTCAATGAGTCCTTCCTTCAATGTCTTCTGAGGCCAAACATTGTATCTCGCCCCTTCTGTACAGAAAGCAGTATTCTTATCATTCATGTCTATTATTTCCTTTTAAGGATTTATTTTCGTGACATCCTTTAGCTATTGCAAGACCGTTTTAACTTTATTTAATCAGAGCAATCTTCGACGAAAGTTTGGTTTAATACTTTCGTTTAGTTTCAAATAAATAGGTTCGCTAGAAAATAGTAAAAAGGAAGACCGTATATAGACACTGATTCCGAGCAGCCGTCGATACATACTCCATTGTGGTGTTTTACTGACATCCCGGTCCGATTAATTCACACATATTAGCCGGGGCGTGAACTGGCTGTCTACGTTTTTGATACCAAAGTGTTGAACCTCAGATAATTAGTCAATCTCGCTGGAATCACTGTGTCGTATATATTACAGAGTTGATGTAATCCCTTCCCCGATGTGTCAGTGTGTCTTACCCACGTCTTCCAAATTCTCCCCGTATCAATTTGGTTCCACGACTGGTAAACAACTTTCAAGGTCTGGTCTGGGAAGAATTATCGTGATAGATATGAACTGTTAACGACAAAAACGTTTACCACAGGGTTTAGACAAAGATTACATTGTGCAAGCTTCTCAAATCTTGTCACAGTGGTCCCGTAGAGAAATTTTGTATATGTCGTTGCGTTTCATTTTGTTGTGTCGTTGTCTGACGAACAGAAGATTCGGTGACGTGCCATTTTTTGCTGTGCTATGGGGTTTTAGTGCAATGCCACTATAGAGTGGTTCTTGAATTTTCTTGAGTGTTTTTATGTGCGTGGTTTTCATCACTTTGACGTCACCAACCATACTGCCTCTCAGTATTGTATCTTTCAACATACACCAGATTTACTTCGAAGTCTTAATTTCATCCTTACCTATCCAATACAGGTCTCCTTCACACCGATATAGTTGATATGCATCGCCCTGATAGTATAGTGACGTTTTGATTTCAGATGCACTTTGCGTTAAGTCACGTGACAGGGATATGGAGGAATATTAACGCCAGCACCTGATTTCGCGAAGAGCAACCTCATTATAACATACATATGATACCAAATAAATATTTCCAGGAGGAGTATTGTGTAAACCATTCAAAAATACTGTCCACCTGATAATCTTTCATGATTTGATTAAAAAAAGAACGATTCCACCAAGTCATGGCCTGACCTTGTGGCAGTATCTCCGTGAGGTATTTTGTGAATTTCTCGTTGAAATTATTTAGGTGGACACTGAGGTTCAGGTTGTTTGATATTGTTCTGTG